GGGACCCCAGCTCCTTCAGGCTCTCCAGCCTCCAGTCCTGAGGGTTTGGCCTTCCCGGTAAAGGACCGAAAAATTTATGTACCCCAGAACTTAAAGTATAATTTTTAAAAAAAATTGAACTGATAGAGCTTTAGCCAATCATCCACAATCCAGGCAGCAGGATGAAGAAAAGGCACTACTATAAAGACACATGCACACATATGTTCATTGCAGCCCTGTTTACAATAGCAAAGACCTGGAACCAACCCAAATGCCCATCAGTGATAGACTGGACAAAGAATATGTGGCACATATACACCATGGAATACTACGCAGCCATAAAAAATGATGAGTTCATGTCCTTTGTAGGGACATGGATGAATCTGGAAACCATCAGTCTCAGCAAACTAACACAAGAACAGAAAACCAAACACCACATGTTCTCACTCATAGGCGATTGTTGAACAATGAGAACACGTGGACTCAGGAAAAGGAGCAACACACACTGGGGGCAGTTGGGGGGGGTAGGGGAGGGACAGTGGGGGTGGGAAGGGTGGGGAGGGATAACATGGGGAGAAATGCCGGATATGGTATGCACCTATGCAACAACCCTTCATGACCTGCACATGTACCCCAGAACCCAAAGCAAAATTTAAAAAAAAAAGAAGCAAGACACCTACTCCCTTCCTTTTAAGGATACTTCTCACAGGTATCACTAATATCTTTGGCCTGCATCCCACTGAGCAGAACTTGGTCCTCCTCTACCTTACTGCAAAGGCAGCTGGAAAATGAGCTCCTCTTGAAACTAAGGAGGGGGAGGAGAAGGGGTTGAATAGGAGGAAGAAAGTGACAGTCTCTGCTACACTGAAAATAAACAAACTGGGCCAGATAGGAGAGAAAGAACAAAGCAAATTCCACGTGACAGATCGTGGTATCCTTTGTGAGAGAATGAAACAGTCCTGGAGGCCCCCAGGAATCACTGGGAAGGACTGTCTGGGAAGCTGGAGGCCCTGTTAGATGGCACGGATGATGCTATTTCCAAGATCCCTTTTAATACCCAGGCCGGTGAGGCCTGGAAAACTCGTTAAATAATCCAGTGGTTCTCAGATTAAAATAATCATCAGAATCACCTCTTTATCTAACAATTCAGATCCAGAACCTGATTCAGGATATGCTGAATTAGGATTTCTTAAAGCAAGCCCAGAAATTTTTGTCAAACCAAGCTCTTAAGAGAATCTAATGTCTATCAAGTTTGGAAACTACCATTACAGATATTTTCAAAAAAATTTACTTCATCTTTCCCCAGCCTTCAAGCCAAGTTTCCTAGACTTGGGATATAAACTTATTTGTTAATGTAAATATCTGTCCAGTGACTCCAATGACTCTATTCTTGTATAAGAGTGTATTAACTTAATCATATTAGACAGTTGGCATTATGAGGTGATCTAGAAGGGCCCCGCGTCACTTAGCTAGAGGGTTTTCAAACTTGGAACTTTCTTATATTTTGGGTCACATAATTCTTTGTTGTAAGGAGCTGTCTGGCGCTTTGTAGAATGTTTAGCGGCATCCCTGGCCTCCATTCCCTAGATGACAATAGCACTATCTCCAATTATGTTAACCAAATAAACTATGTCCAGACATTAGCAAATGGTACCCGAAGGCAAAATCACTTGCAGTTCAGAACCCCCAATTGTGAAATGTTATCTTTAGTATTTCACAGAAGCCCAAAAAATTCATGGCAACAGAAGTATTAAATAACACTAGGTGGGAATTAAGCAAATGCACATGAAATCTTATGGTCTGGATGCGACAATCGGTACCTCCATTTTCCTGTGTGTATAAAAACTATGTGTTCTGTATACTTCTGTATAATTTCCAGAAGTTAAGTGAGTGCTTACCTGACATTATTTTTTTTAATTTGTGTATTACCTACCTCTCCACTGAGGGGGGTAGGTAAAGGAGGCTGGTGATAAAATTTCTTCAATTTCATTTATGTCAAGCCCTTGCAACACAATAATACCTAATCTAAGCTAGCCTCAGACATCCTGTTTCTCATAAGTAAGCTTAAATAAGGGAGACGTGCTATAGATATGCTTTATGCTCAAATATAAAGAACACATAATAGATGGAAATTTAAACTTTTATTAATAAATCATGATTTTCTATTGAATACATAATAAAGTACAATTAATAATAACATAACATTCCAACATTAAAAATTAAAACTTTCAGAATCTTGATCAATATATAAAGCTTTAGTTGCTGGAAAAATAATATTTCAACAGTATTCTTCTCATATGCAAAACAGCTTCCCAAAATAGGAGATTTGTGAATGAAGTTTTATAAAGCTTCCTGTGTACAAAAGAGATTGACTCCACATCAACTGACCCTTACTGAAAATCAAAACCATAAAGGCTTGAAGGGCCAGAATTGAGCGACATTCTATTAGTTATCAAAAGATAAAATCTTAAAGATCTACAAATGGAACATGGAACTGCCTTCTATCACCAATTCAACACACTGGGCAAAAGTAGTAAATCTTGGCCTCAAGACAACATAAGATAGGATGATTCTTAAATATGTAGCACACATATATCAATATTATTCCTATTACAGAGACACATGCATACCAATGTATAACTTTTCTTTGCAGTAAGAAACTCAGAAATCATCCAGGAAATACCTATTTTCCTATGTTACGATTGAAATGAAAATGATAATGTATTTTATAAAATGATGCAATGTGGTACTGTCTTTTGATGAGACATGAAAACACAACTCACTGGATAGAAATAGTTGTTAAAATAATCCTACTCTCACTGACATACACTTAATTTAAAAGTTACACTTACTGCTTAGTTTTCTGAAGAGGATAATCAAGGTAGTGATAAAAATAATTGCACCTTAAATTACTCCCGGTGTAACATAAGATATTTAATATTAACATAAATATCATCTGAATAGATTATGGAAAATTTTTAATTTAAGTGCTATGCCTTACTGGAATTTGAAGACAAAAAAAAAAAAAAAAACTGAGCAATATACTCTTCTGCCTGTCCAACAGAAGCCTCTACTGAGAACGTAAAAGGTTCTGAAGTCCATTCACAAATGAGTCCACTTACTATAAGTGTCTTAAATTTACAATATGCAAAAAACTAATGCACCCAAGAATATATCATGGCACCTTGACCCATGGTAACCACTTGGCAGACTCAAATAATAACTACCCTCATAGGGAGAAATCTTGCCAAGAGAGAATTTACAACATATTTTTAGAAAGAAATGAGTATTCAATAATCAATAAAACAAATTAGAAAAAGTAAGATTTTCAAAAGAACTCCAGATTATATGCCAGCAGGTTAATAAAATGGTTCTTTTCTTAAAAATGGCAAAGAAAAGTCATAGTTCCAATGTTTTTAATGTCTTGAGTCAGCCAGACATGTCAAAAGAAATAATTATGTCAAAATAAAAATAGTCGGAATTATATTGACAGTCTATTTATAACTATATTTAGCATAAATAGAGATTAAAGCTAAGTACATCTTTAAAAAAAATAATTATACCTAGACTCAAAAGAATAGGAGCAGGGAGAGTTATGCTACCTACAATTCTGAAAATTGCCACATTCAGGATATGGTATTGCATATGTAAGTAACAACTCCTAGGTAACGGAAATATATCATATTCTATATAAGCAAAATGCTCCTCAGATCGTAATATATAATCCAAAATATTAAACCAAAGATACTATTTTTAGATTGTTTGAAAAACAAAGTACAATAGAACAGCACAATAAAAGGAAGAATTTCATTGACCAGACATATTTTAATGGGCTTGAATTTCTTTTTTAAAACTATAACTAAAAGTAGTAAGATGGTAAAACCAAATATAAAAGTGTTATTCTGTCCTAGAAGTGTTTGGCTACTAGGTTTTCCCAACATGGAGTCTCTGGAAGCATTGGCCAACCAGAAAGGGAGGTGAGATATGCTGGTGTCTTAAGGTTCCCAGTCAGTAGAAAGAAGGGGGCTTTAGTTCATACCAGTAAATGACATTGACAGTATTCTAAATGGAAGAGCTTCAGCATAAGCAATCTTCATGGTAAAATGAGTTTTTTAATATTATTACCCACAGCTTGTAAAGAAAATCATCTATACTATTGATCATTACTACTACATATACTCCTTTTCTCTTTATGCCTGTGGTATTTTAATCACTTTTAGTCCAAGTCCACTGCTTATAGCAGAGCAAGTTCTCCAAGGGAAGTATGAAGGAAGAAGTGGCTGGGACATCTGCACAGCCCGATGCCCCAGGAGGCAGTGCTAGCTAACCCTTTCTCTTCCTTCTCATTTTTGTCCTCTTCACTTTCAGTAAACTTACAATAAAAAGAGATGAGTTACAAGGTACTTTGTAATTGAAAACCTGAAGTTCTTCACCAAAAAAGTATTCAAATGCTAGTTTTTAAACAAGGAAATATGGTTTAAATGGCCCTTCCATCCTAGTGTTTCCTAATATATGACACCAAAAGTTCACTATACATTAGGTACTAAAGAATATAAAGTATCGATTATCATTATAAGGTTCCCAGTTCAGGGCAGAGGAGGGGAAAGTCCTTTGCCAAGACCCTCTCCCAATTTTTTATAAGATTATTTGACCTTTAAAGAACCCCCAGAGTATAAAGGGCAAAAACACCATTACAAGCAGGCCCCATAATAGCAAGTGCCTGTTTTAGAACATTGTGTCAGAGGTGTAAGAGATCTAGAAACTTTTCCCCACTTAAAAATAAATACAAGAAAATTAGGTATTTGATACTTAACTGCCCTCTTCATAGACCACTCTCTGGGATCTATTTTCTACATATAGGTTTGACAGCTTTAAAATATTGAATGTTAGTTATTCCTACCATGGTATCCAAAATATCCATAAGTAATATATACCATCCATTCCACTATAATTTCTGAAAATTCACTAAAATAAGAGCATTTTTTAAAATTAATCTTAAAAGATATATTTGCATACTTTCTTTTTGATGGATTTATTTTTTAAAAACTAAAAACATAAAACAAACTCTTTGGAGCACATGGCAATTACTTTTTCTCGTGTCCACTTGAGAGAAATGCCAATACATTTGCTGAAAGCTATACAGCAAAACTAAACCATTTCTTAGATTGAGTAAAAGATCATTAATTGTTGACTCGTATTTAAATTGTTTCAGTATATTTAGAAGGCAAAGAAGAAAGGGAGATGGAAAGGAAAGAAAGAGAGAATGAGGAGAAGGAGAAAGGGGGACATCTTTAAAATTTCCATCCAGATAAATTATATTACTCTTCAGAACACAGGGCAACTAAAAATTAAGGTGCTCAGGATTCAGGGATCTTAAAAGTTCACAGCAAGCATCAGATGTCACTAGATGACTGGCAGTCTGATGCTCAGATCCCTGAACCTAGAAGAGTTTCCACAGAACCCCTGTCCAATGCCAGAGATCTTTAGGCCAGGAGTCATGTCAAGATGCTCTGATTCTCCACAAACCCAGCTTCTTTCTCAAATTGCAGGGAGGTCGGTCTGCAATGACTTATCCAGTATTTTGTTGTGCCCTGGCTCACAGTGTCTCCTGGTCTAGGATCTTCTAATCAAAATCCCTTGAGGCACATATTACAGTGCTCTCTGCCTCTCACCCCGAAATAGAGTCAGTGTGGGGCTGAGGATGTGGGAAGGAGAGAGCACACCCAGCACCCTCCAGGGCAGTTTTTGGTATGCTCCTCAACCTCTGAGATGGCATGCAAAGCACAGGGACATGTACTGCCCCTCACATTTCTCTGTACAGGAAAGAGAGGAAAAGGAAAAGCTGGGGTGTGTGATCAGATTTCCAGCGGGGAAAAAAAATGCCCCCCCAAAAAAAATCATCACCTACATTCTAAAAAGAAAGAATTTCCAGTTAAGAAGTATCTACTGAGACCGCTGGGCATGGGGCGGTAGGGTGGGGTGGGGTGGGCAGTTAGGGTTAGGTTGGAGGTGGGAAGGGAAGAGATCAAGCTCCTCCTGCTGGCTGTTTTCTCCCATTCCCAGGGAAATCCATCTTTAAGCAAACATGGATGTGCCATAATGCTTAAGAATCTGGGTTCATTTCTTCCACAAAATGAGGAGAATAACTATTCTAAAATAATACCTTTATTCTGGAGAAAACAAACACCTCCAAAAAAATGCTAAAAGATTTTGAAAGGGGAAAATGTAGACATAAAACTGCATTCATTCTGATCTTCCACACAAAGACCGGGTGAAGAAATCTATGCAGCTATACACACTAGGATCTGCTGTACACCACCACCACCACCACCACCCCAACCCCATAGAAAGAAAAAAAAACTGTTTTTCAAAATAAAAGCAATATTCGATTATGAAAACAAAGCAATCACATGTGAGTACTAGAAATATTAGTGTTACATGGAGTCCTTTAAAAATAAATCACAGCCAAAGTTGCAAAAAGTACAGAAGTGTGAAACAAAAAATAAAAATGACTGAAGAGGGATGATGGGAGCCTGAAGCTCCATCCTCACAAGGACGGCAGCCCTGGACGTCACGGCAAAGGTCACAGGAGGATAGCTTCGCTTCAGAGTTGTAACTTCTCACCGCCTGTCTCCCTGTTCAAAGAAGCAGACATCAGTTCACACAGCTCCCTTGTCTGGAAACACTGACTTTGCCAAAACATAAGAGCATTTTGATACACTCTTCTGAGTTTTCCATTCTTTACCTAATTTTATTTTTCTTTACAAGAAACAACTGAAGTGTTGAAGAAGGGTCCAAAGTACTAACCAAATCCAAGGGAGAAACAATGCACTCAGTCCAATCTGTCTACCACCAGCAGCTGGCGAGCATTGAAAGAGGGCAAATTAACTGCAGCTGCACACTACAATCGCAAGCACCACTTTAATCTCTGCATCAGGAAGAATTTTCAGTTGAGGACTGTTTAACCTCCTCAAGAGTTTATTTTAGGATGACATCTTCTATGCACTCAAATTCTAATCATTAGAACTACTGAAAAGAGGCATTTACCCTGGGCTCTAGTAAAAAATACATAAATATGAAGGGAAGACAATACCTTGTTTTAAGGTTTTAAACCTTAAACAATACCTTGTTTTAAGGTTTTAAAACACTGAGCATGTATCTAAAAGCTAATATGAAAAAACTATATAAAGTACCCATAAAGCCACAGTAAACTCACTGTAAAACGCAAATGAGTTTTATCGTTTTAAAAAAATATATTCTGATTTCAAATTTATTCATGATTTTTCAGAGATTGTTGTCCATATTGTAAATGTGTTTTGAGATTTTTTTTTAATTGTAATTTAGGTTCTGGGGTACATGTGCAGATCATGCAGGACTGTTGCATAGGTACATACATGGCAAGACAGTCTGCTGCCTTCATCTCTCCATCACCTATATCTGGTCTTTATCTCCACCCCCGCTGTCCCTCCCCTAGCCCCCCACTACTGACCGCAGTGTGTGATGCTTCCCTCCCTTTGTCCACGTATTCTAATTGTTTAACACCCGCCTATGAATGAGAACATGCAATGTTTGATTTTCTGTTCTTATGTCAGTTTGCTGAGTATGATAGTTTCCAGATTCATCCATGTCCCTATGAAGGACAGGAACACATCATTTTTTATGGCTGTGTAGTATTCTATGGTGTATATGTGCCACATTTTCTTTACCCAGTCTACCAATGATGGACATTTTGGTTAGTTCCAGGTCTTTGCTATTGTAAACAGTGCCACAATGAACATATGTGTGCATGTGTCTTCATAACAGAACAATTTATAATTCTTTGGGTATATACCCAGTAATGGAATTGCTGGGTAAAATGGTATTTCTATTTCTAGGTCCTTGAGGATGCGCCACACTGTCTTCCACAATGGTTGAACTAATTTACACTCCCACCAACAGTGTAAACGTGTTCCTATTTCTCCACATCCTCTCCAGCATCTGTTGTCTCCAGATTTTTTAATGATCACCATTCTAACTGGCATGAGATGGTATCTCAATGTGGTTTTGATTTGCATTTCTCTAATGACCAGTGATGATGAGCTTTTTTTCATATGTTTGTTGGCCTCATCGATGTCCTCTTTTGTAAAATGTCTGTTCATATACTTTGCCCACTTTTGAATGGGTTTGTTTGTTTGTTTCTTGTAAATCTGCTTTACAGATTCTGGATAACCATTCTTTGTCAGATGGTTAGATTGCAAAATTTTTTTCCCATTCTGTTGATTGCCGGTTCACTCTAATGATTGTTTCCTTTGCTGTACAGAAGCTTTGGAGTTTAATTAGATCCCATTTGTCTATTTTGGCTTTTGTTGTCAATGCTTTTGGTGTTTTAGCCATGAAGTCCTTGCCTATGCCTATATCCTGAATGGTTTTGCCTAGGTTTTCTTCTAGGGTTTTTATGGTGTTAGGTCTTATGTTTAGATCTCTAATCCATCTGGAGTTAATTTTAGTGTAAGGTGTCAGGAAGGGGTCCAGTTTCTGCTTTCTGCACATGGCTAGCCAGTTTTCCCAATACCATTTATTAAACAGGGAATCCTTTCCCCATTGCTTGTTTTTGTGAGGTTTGTCAAAGATCAGATGATTGCAGATGTTTGGTGTTGCTTCTGAGGCCTCTGTTCTGTTCCGTTGGTCTATGTCTCTGTTTTGGTAATCGTACCATGCTTTTTTGATTACAGTGGCCTTGAAGGATAGTTTGAAGTCAGGCAGTGTGATACCTCCAGCTTTGTTCTTTTTGCTTAGGATTGTTTTGGCTATGCAGGCTCTCTTTTTTTTCCATATGAAGTTTGAAGTGTTTTTTTCCAGTTCTGTGTTTTGCTTATTCTGATCTTTCCCAAATTTTCATTTTAAAATGGCCTCCTCATAAATAAGTTGCTTTCCACAAAACTTTGCATAGACTGAATTATTTTTGTTTCATAAATGTTTAAAATGTTCCCCATGCACCCAAGAAATATAAATTGGGGAATTTTTCAATTAAGTAATAAAGTTGGATAACTAGTTACTGTCATTGGGTCTGCACAGTATATTCCATCCCTCCACTAGAGAAGAAGTACTACATCAGTGTTTCCCAAATGTCCCACAAGAACCTGGGTGAATCCGTTTCCTCAGTGCCAAAAGACAAGAGGAACTGGCTTGTTGACTTAGAGGAAAGAACTGGTGCTTTGCCTTCGTCTTGAATACTCTATCAAGCACTAACAACAATGGGAACAAGTTCATCTCATTTAAAGTGTAATTATCTATAACTACCTAACACATCAAAATGGTCATGCTTCTCATCATTGTGATGATTCTGGGCCACCACAAGGGCTTATTCAAAATAAGACGTATTACCATTAGAAACATTAGGCCAGACAGAGATCACATGCAAAAAGTCACTCTGACTAAACATGGGTTCATCCTGTTAAACTTGGGCCGTCTCTAGACCAGTTCTCTATTTTTACATCCTAAATTCCCATCATTTTATAAAATAAGAAGTTACCAGTAAAATCAAAGAAGCTCAAGTTATTTTCCAAACTGGCTATATTTTTCTTGATACACTTTTAAAAGTCTGTTATCAAGTATAAGTTTTCAGCAAAACATCAGACTCCCTCAATGAAGAAAGAGCTAACTCCAGCCAATGCCACTGCATTGCAGATGCTGTTCATGCTCTCTCCTGAAGAAGCCCCATTTTACTTATTATTTATTTATATACTATTCAGGGGGTACATGTACAAATTTGTTACAAGGCTATATTATGTGATGCTTGAGGTTTGGGCTTCTATTGATCCTGTCACCCAAATAATGAACATAGTACCCAATAGAGTATTTCAGCTTTTGTTTCCCTCTCTCCCTCCCCATTTTGAAGTCCCCAGTGTCTACTGTTTCCATTTTTATGTCCATGTGTACCCAATGTTCAGCTCCCACTTATAAGTGAGAACACATGATATTTGGTTTTCTGTTTCTGCCTTAAGTCACTTAGAATAATGACCTTCAGCTGCATCCATGTTGCTACAAAGGACATTATTTAGTTCTTTTTTAATGGCTATATAGTATTCCATGGTGTACGTGTACTTCCTTTTCTTTATCCAGTCCACAGTTGATGGGCACCTAGGTCAATGCCCTGTCTTTGCTATTCTGAATAGTGCCGTGATAAACATATGAGTGCAGGTGTCTTTTCAGTAGAATAATTTATTGTCTTTTGGATACATACCCAGTAATGAGATCGTGGGGTCAAATGGTAGCTCTACTTTTAGAACTCCCATTTTAAAGCTGGAACCAAATGAAATGGGTGCTTGAAATAGAAGCAGTATCTTCAAATGAAACATAGCTAGACTCTCTATGTCAATTTTTCTTTGTAACGTTTATAATTGTGAGTTAAAAACTTAAAACATTATGAAAAATATATATCATTTTTAAATTTCATATGCTAAAGCCTCTCATGTGACCCTTGTAAATTATCAATAGTCTTCACTGAAATGGAATGCTCACTTCCTGCCTCTCTGCCTTTTATACTTTCTCCTACCAAACCCTGCCCTTGCCACAGAACCAATCTAAAAGGTGGTCACTTCCAATAAATGAATGAATGCCTGGCTTAATTTCTAAGAATCAAGAACTCCAGAGCATACTTACTTGGCTCATAGTAATCCACAATGGACACTGAAGCATCTTGGGTATTTGAAACTTTAAAGTTTCTCACAGCAGGAATATCAACACAAAACTGGGTTTCATTTAGCTTGAAAAATACAAAAGAGTCTTAAGGGGTTGGCACGCTGCATGTTCATGATTAAGTAAAGACATTTCTTTTTCTTATTTTAAGAAACAGAGACTAACACTTAGGGAGGATTTCTACATGTCAGATACTGCAGTAAGTACTTCCTAGGAACTCTCATTTAACTTTTAAAACAATGCTTACAAAAAGGTATTTGTTCTTAGTTCCATTTTGCTGAATGGGATGCTGAGAATTAGGTTGGTTAAGTAAGCAGCAAGACTGAGGGTGCATGCACCAGATCCCCTGTCTCAAACGGTGCACCCCACACCCGGTTACTACTAATGGCTCATAGCAGCCTCCTTCTCCTGGGAATCTCCCTCAGCTCACGCAAGCCATGCCACCCAGTAGGTGAGGTAACTAAGATGGGGCTGTACTCCACAGCCAAAGACTGAGATGGGGTACACATGGCCAGCCTGTCTGTCTCCAAGAGGGATAGCTTTTGCCAATTTGGCAAACAACACTAGTTAAAGAATCAGAAATTAGTAAATTCCTTCCAATATTCCCTTATTTGCCAGCAGTAGTAAATGAAAAGTCAAACTGACCACTCAAAGAGTGCTGGACACTCAAATTAAGATAACCATTAACAAGAGCATCAAAGATAGAAGACCAACTCCAAAATCAATTACACTACTAAATTAAAACCTTAAATTTGTTTTTCAAGTTCCAAATCAGGCCCATGGCTTTCATGCAGGGTTTAATGTAAGATAATTCCTAAAGAACAAAAGAATCTAGAGACTCTTATTTAACATTAAATTGAGACTGAATTCATTTTAACAGGGCTTTAACCAAAGTGGTTTTGAAGAGCTAAGACAAATGAGAACATTCAGGAACTATCTTTTTAAAAGTAGATATTTAGCAATATATTTCTGATTCATACTTAGCAAAACTGAAATATGAAACATACAAACACACCCATGTAAAATGAAATCCTTAGAATACTATGAACTCAATATCAAGTCAACCTGTGAAGCTCATCTAAATGCTATAAGAAAAGAATAAACTTACATGCCACCAGTTTTGAGACATACCAAGCAGAGTCTGGAATTCTTCACTTACCTTTCCCTACATATTATATGCACCTTATGCTTGAATTAGTAGTACTCATTCAGCAATGGAAAGAGTACATGAAGGTTATATCATAATTATATGTCAAGATCAAATCTCTGAGAATAATCTTCCATGATTTAGCACCTAATTTTTCAAGGTAAGAATATTAATCCCTTTAAGGTTTCTTAAAAGCTTCATGGAAGAATTTTAAAATGTGTAATTAAGGCTTTTGTCTTCTAGCCAGTCATGGCGGTTCACACCTGTAATCCCAACACTTTGAGAGGCCAAGACCAGAAGATTGCTTGAAGCCAGGAGTTCAAAATCAGCCTTGGCAACAAAGTGAAACTCTGTCTCTACAAGAACTTTTCATGAAATTATCTAGGCATGGTGGCATGCACCTGTAGTTCCAGCTACTCAGGAGCTTGAAGTGGGAGGATCACTTGAGCCCAGGAGTGGGAGGTTGCAGTGAGCTATGATTGCACCACTACACTCCAGCCTACGCAAGTTCCTGAGGCAGAGAGGGTCTCAAATTCACGTCTGGACTGAATTTTTTTAATTATAATATGGAAATTTCTATGTATTTCACATCTGGTGTGAAATAAAGATTAGGTTTTAAAGAACTTCATCAGCCTCAACAGTAATAGCAACTCTCTAAACTGAGTTTATAGTTATGTCTTTCTAATGAAGATAAATATATGGTTGCCATATTAAACTCATTCAGGGACACAAAAAGTTGAAATAACAACAACTTAAAGAAAATGCACTTAAAGTAAGGTAGACATCTAAACATAATACATAGTAGCTGTATTAACAGTTACTTTATGCTTTACTACTTACAGAATCTAAATAGAGGTTGAGTTTTCCATGATCATATTCCACTTTCTTCACTGTCTCACTCAGAGGAATGGCATCTGAAGGCACCATAAAGCCACTGAGTAGGTTAACTTCCATAAGAGCCATGCCACTCCTACCTGGGCCCAAAAACCTAAATCAAAGAGGGGAGGATGAATGAAAACTCCCCAGGAAGAACCTAAAGCTGTTATCAAATTATCTTCATATAAAAATCAAACCCACCAAACGTTATTCCAAATACTGTTTAAGTTCAAATAAAGTTCACTATAGAGAATTTGAAAATAGGTTATCATTTTCTTACATGTGTGGTATTCTTAGAGCTTTCAATCATGTAAGAAATAATGATACAACAATGTGTTCATTTGGCAGACAGTATGCAATGCCTGCAATGTAACAGGCTTGTGCTGATAAACTGTAGCAGAACAACATACATCCTTTTAACAGGCAACTCTGTTTTCTAGTGGTGATTCCAAACTGAATTGCATTTTTCCTTTTCTCAATAGTTGATAGCACCAAACTTCTAAGCCGAAAGCCAGGCCCAGAGTGGGAGGCATGACTTGACAACTTAGCGATAGGCCCCATCCAAGGTCTTAGCAACCTTTTATTCATCTGGTTTTAGAAACATCAGACCAGTACGGAGAGGTCTTCCCTTTGTTTTTCCATATACTTGAAAAACATTTTGTGTTTTCTTTGGCTGCTGCGAAGGAATTACAAACCTTGGAAAGTTTTATTACACTGCATCCTTTTCTCACCCCATTGTACATAATGTGAGCATCAAAGGATCTGGGCACCAACAACATTTTGTCTCCTTGAAAATAAATATTTTTCTAAAATGAATTTATGGCAAGAGCTTTTCATTTGGAGCAGGAGCCCAGCTAAGTGATTAAGGAAAGATGTTCGCCTCCAACGTAAAAGGATCACAGCATTAAGTTAGTACCTGTTGTCCTTTTAAATGGCAAAAGCAAGAAGGTCTGTTAGAAAAATCTTGCTTTTTAGAGCAGCAAACTCATGCCTGCCAAACATGACTGATTGAAAAGCCACATAGTACAACTGCTGACTTCAGCTGGCTCTGCAATCCAAAGCAACTGAAACCATCTGCTGACAATGCACTAAGCCAAAATAGATGTTATTGAAAACTAATAAATGGATTGAAACTAGAGGTGTTTGCATATGAGAAAAAATTACAGATGGGAAAAAACAGTCAATATGCTTACATACTTAAAAAGCAAAATGCAGATTCTACTTTCGGTACATCATTAAGCGTGCCTTGGTTGATCTGATCTCTCTACCAGCCTGGGGCAGAATTTGTTAAACTATTATGCCACACAGAAAGACTGGTATGACGTAAGGTCTTGGATCCTGTTGATAGGAATCAAGTGTCGGAAATATCAGATAGTCTTTTTATAATGTGCTGCTGAAAAAATACACTTAAATGTTATTTGTCTTTCATACCAAATTTTTCTCAGAAAACTAGTAGCAGCATTTAAACCCTTTTTATAAAACCCCTACCCTCACATGAAAACATTTCCCTTCTTCACGCTCTACCTCCCACCCGAACTCTGTTGTCCACCTGATTCCTGACATGTGGATAAGACTGGAAATCCTGCATCCTTACATGAGCCCCTATAAATGAATGCTGAGGCCTCTTCATAGTCTAAATCCTGGTTCCACCTCATTTTCCTCATGATTCTTTACCTGATATCTCTTAAGAGGCAAAAATATCCCTCTCATAACTCCATGAGGGTCTTCTTCTTTACCCTTTTCAAAACTAGAATTTTAGACCTGCTTAGAGGATGTTTATCATTAGTTTACGTATCCCACTCAAACACCAATTTCCACGAGGGCAGAGCTTGTGTCTTTTTTGGCTTACAATTATATTCCCACAGCTGACACACAGACACTATGCCTGGCACATAGTAGAGACTCAACCAATATTTGCTAAGGGAATAAATAAATGAATAAGAAAAGCAGGAACAGGCATGCCTACAAGCCCAGCTCTTTGGGAGGCCAAGTCAGAAGGATCGCTTGAGGCCAGGAATTCGAGAAAAGCAGGAATAATAGTAATACATACTTTACAGATTTACTGTAAGAATTAAATGAGATGCATGTAAAAGTGCTTGGTACAGTGCCTGGCATATAAGTTTGTAATTACTGTAGGTTGTTATTGTTTATAATAATAATAATAACTTGAAGTCATTATTCTATAACAGAGACCAATTGCAAGATTAGTAAAAAATAATTGGAGTCCTATTTTCTTCTCAGCTGAAAAGGATGCCACTGCAGAGATTCTGATATCAGGCTGCTGGCCTGAAATGCCCAATGAAGAATGGGGCAAATGTGTGACATTCTACCCCAAAATCAAGAACGAGAAGGTCCAAAGATAAGAGAGACAGTAGCAGTAATGGCAGAGACTGGGTCCAGGCAATGGCTGTGAAGGCTGGCCACCAGGATGTACACCCAGAGATGAGCTTGAAGAACACCTGCCAGCTCAGGACCACATCAGGGACTTCTAGCCCAACAATAAGCCAAGTTAAATCAGGATGCTATGGGATATTTTACAAGAGCAGACAGCAGCTCCTCAATGCCAGTGCATCTTTAACTCCCAGCTCAATGCCAAATAATGCAGATGTAACAGGATAGATTCACGAAAGAAAAAAAAAATGTGACGCCTCTATAAGAACATTCACAAGGAGTATGCTCCAACTCTTGTGTGCAGTAGAATGATCAAAAAGCTGCAGCTTCCCAGCCTTACTGTGAAGTCAGTAGGGTTGAGGTAGAACCCTTCTTTCTTATGACTTAACAAGATTCTCAGATGCTTTGATATAGAAAAATTTAAGAATCAACTTAAAAAGTAATCCTGGAAGCTTCAGTTGTTAAGTGTCTAATTATCCAAGATGAGAACCTCCTAAACAGGAATATTTTCAATGTATCTTAAAAAAAAAAAAAACTATCCTCTTTATTGAATTTGCATGTTATCATAAAGTTTTGGGTTAAATACATAACAGTTAAGGTTCAATATGAACCTGAAATAATTATTTCAACAGAAAAATAACTCGTAACAAGAAATAACCATTTTTGGAGTATTAAATATGATTGACTAAATTTGAAGTCTTCCTAAATTAGACCTGAGTTTTACTAATGTATATATACATGGTTCTATTCAAATTGGTTATATATTCAGGGAAAACATAAATAATTTTTGTATGCATCTAATAGATGCTTGAATATAATTACTATTTCTAGTTTGTAATATGAAGTGTGGGGCATTACTGAATTCTTTGTTCAATATAACTTCTTATATTGACATAGTTAGACAACTATATATAATTGAATCTTCAAGTCTATTTTTTAAAGCAAAAAAGAAGAGAGACCTAAGCAGACATTTACCTTGTGCACACATTCAAATCCACATGATTCAGATCATCTTTATTATCTTTTACAGCAACATCTAAGTCAAAGGCTTCTTGATTTTGGATAGATCTTCGTCTTCTAGAAGACTCAAAATCTTTCACGTTATATACAACATTGAGCTGTAAAAAATAAACTAGCATAAGTAATAAATTGGACATAAATTTCCATCATTATGCCTTCTAAATACTGTACTAGTTAATGATTCTCTTTGGACGGACCCAATAAGATTTTTAATCTTCAAACTAGAAAAAAAATTAATTTTACTGGCTAACAAAGTATCACTATTAACAAATATTATTACAATTTATAAAATTATTTTTAATGGAGAAATTTGTTAATATTCAAAAACAAGAATAATAAAACACTTATGGGTGATATTCGGGGATATATTTTCTCAAAGAAAGTAAACAGTCCCTTGAGGGAAAATCTTTGTTGGGAGCATTCACTAATTTCTAAGGCCTGTTTCCCAAATGGGGTCATTTTTTACTACCTAGGACTTTAGAAACTCTCAGTAGGATAAATCAAAACTAAAACATTGAAGAGCCTTAGTTTAACATTGCTGAGGATTTTTTGTTGTTGTTCATACAACGTTTGTCAAAAATGATAAAATAAACGACAGCTTTTAAGTCAACTGGGTCTTTCTCAGCATCTACTCGGTACCCATCACTGATGTTAAAAGTGCTGTAGACATGCTGGAGGAGCCTGAGGACCTGCATCTTTCTCAAAGCGACCCTAAATCAGAAGCTTAGGGACGTACTCAAAACTTCCTAGGCCAGTCTCATCCTCAGATGGATTGGAATCTACTCACATGTTCTGCCTCATCTCCTTTTTTATAACAAGGTTCATAAAGCTTACTGCTGCTTTGTAAGGTTGTATTTTCTCTTAACTTAAACCTAAAACATATAATACACATATGCGCACACACATACACACACCCCTCTCAGAACTAACATCTAATATCACTCACGGATTTGCATACTTAAAAAAAATCCTCTAAAGTAAGTCTTCATTTTTCAAATCTAAAAGTTACAATCTTTTTATTCTGCCACAATCCAAACTCATACATTCCTTCATCCCCTTGATCATTCTGGTTATCTCACTTTGGACATTCGTCAACTCTTTCTTAAAGTGTAATGATTAAATTATAGAGTATTCCTGAAGCAGCTGAAGAATAGTCTCATAAAATTGAAGAGATGCTCTGTATTATTTCCATCATTCTCTTTCCAGTGGCACATAACTGTTCTTTTAGAGACCAGTGCTGTCAGGAAACAGACAAGGACTACTCTATTTGTCTCTCGGGCCATAACTAAGTATTAGGGTTTACATTTGGCAGTAAAGCTCAACTGCTTGCTCAGGGAACTTCAAAAGATCTTGCAGTTTATTTCCAACAGTTTAGCATTTTATTGCCGAAAAGAGGGTAATACTTACCGCAAACTCATGAGTATTCTTTGCCTTCCTTTTTCCAGAGCACTTATTAAAATATCAACTGTAAGAAATCTCAATACGCATTTCTGGGTGACCACATTCTTTGTATTTTTTTCCTCCCTCATGAAAAATGCCTACCGGTCCCTCTGCATTTTGAGACTGATGTGGGATTGGTGAACTTTCTGACAAGCAGGTACCACATTTAACCCTGTGTCCTTCAAGCCTCAAGTAAAAATCACTTGGTTTTAGTAATTTCTCTACATTCAGTTTATCAAAAATGAATCCCAACCAACTTGGTGATTTAAGTATTTGTAATTTTTCAGTTTTATCTAGAACACCCTGAATATTTACTTTTGGATTTACTCTTGGATTGCAAGAAAGCTTGAGAATGAGAATTTTCCATGGTCTTCGTTAGTAAAGACCAAAATAAATTATTCACTGTCTCTTTCTGTCCTTTTCACTGTGATGATTTTTTTCTTTTTTTTTTTTTTTCTTTTTTTTGAGACAGAATCTTGTCCCATCACCAGGCACCAGGCTGGAGTGCAGTGGCGCAATCTCAGCTCACTGTAACCTCCACCTCCTGGGTTCAAGCAATTCTCCTGCGTCAGCCTCCCAAGTAGCTGGGACTACAGGCGCACACCACCATGCCCAGCTAATTTTTGTATTTTTAGTAGAGACAGGGTTTCACCACGTTGGCCAGGATGGTCTCAATGTCTTGACCTCATGATCCACCCACCTTGGACTCCCAAAGTGCTGGGATTGCAGGTGTGAACCACCGCACCCAGCCGATCATTTTTCCTTTAGTTTTAAAAAAAAAAGGTTTACTGTGTTCTGAGCAACATACAAAATAATCTTAGAATTATTTGGAAGTTTCTAAATTATACCTGCTTAGCAAGGTATACCTGCCATACTCACCAAGTATACCTGTTCTCTCAACTAGAATGATTGTACTAGTTTTCAAAAAAGTACTTTATCTCCATAATAGCCTTTTTTTTACTTTCTCAATAAGTGTTTCAGTGTTTTTACTTGTTTGTTTCTACCCAAGCACACGACCATTTCTGGTCCTATTACGTATTATCTTGGTGTTCTAATGAGATGATTTTAAAGTCCTCAAGATTTTTATGTACTCTTTTGCATAATGATTACTTTATTCAGTATTTTTCATCCTGCTTTCATTTTCTTGTAGCTCCTGCTGAACCATACAATGTAAATTTCTTTAGATTTTTCTTCCTATACCACGGCATTGAACATAATTATGCTCTAATTGTTATATTTACTATTATATAAGATTTTACATTAAAGGGACACAATTCCTCCCTTCAAGTCAATAATTCTACCATGTTGACAATAATTCTACCATATTATCAGATGAATATTAAGAAATTGTAAGTAAAACATGTGGTTGTTATTGGGAATCATATTAGAGGATTTCAACCCTCACTTCAAAAAGCAAATAATCTCCAAGAAATATTTTCCAAATAGAAAATCAGTCTATATAACTGTTCTCTACTCACTGGCTGGCAACATCTCTAACACTTTTTATTAAAGACAGTGATATATCTTGTTTAAGTCGTAGATGTATATCATTAAGAACTATATTCAAGTTAAAGATTTAGCAAAGCCTCAAACCAAATAATTATTATAAAAAGTTATATTTAACTTCAAAAAATAAGCATTGTTACATACCTGACAAATAGCAAATCCAAAACCACTTGCGGAAATATTAACTGCAGTTGGCTGTACCACAGCAAGCTGAATCAAGGTGGAAAAAAAAAATTGAATGAAGCTAATTTTCCATATGCAGAGCCTTCCAAGTAACAAAACAGATCAGCCCTATCCCTCATTAGGAGCAGAAGCAATCACTGACAGCACTAGGAGCTTTGCACTGTCTCACATACCAAAAGCTATGAGTCAAATAGGTAAGTAAGGTGATGGCAGGAAAAGTGCACACTCTCCAAGCTCCCTCACTTCTGCCCATGGGAGGGCACATTAGTGCTACTTACAAGTCTGTCCTCCTGTTGGGGTTGAAACATAAAAGACAAGAAACTAAAGTCATCTCCCTCCCCTGATCTCCCTTAATCAGCGCCTAATTCCCTGGCTTTCCTAGAAGCACAATAACATATTGTCTACGACTGTGACTAACTTTATTCCTTCTTTTCGTTTATCATCACCACACTTCCTCACTTTCCAGAATTGAAGTTATCACCTTCATCCATTGTACTCAACCTCCCCCAAAATTGACCAAGGGAATAAAGTTAAAAACTAGCATATTCTTTTCTTCCAGTTAAAGTAAGAATTCTACTACTAGTTCTATCAATTCTCCTAAGAAGACATGTGTAACAGCTGAAAGAACATGGTCTTTGGAATAATGAGTTCAAATTCTAGCTCTACTGTTACTAGTAACATGATCTTGAGCAAGTCACTTAACCTCTCTCAGCCTCAGTTTTATCACATGTACGATGGGGATAAATGTACTTACTCCTTAGAGTTACTTTGAGAAGTAAATGCAATAGCATATGTAAAGTAATCTAGCATAGTGCCTGTGAAGAATAGAAACTCAGCAGGTTTCTATGTTCATTCCTTTCCCAATGTTACATTGCCCATGTTTTCTCCTGTTCCACCAATCTTTCCCAAGTTCCCCACGCTTCCAGAGCTCAGCAAATTCAACCAAAGGAGGGCACCACTCTTCCCTATTCCTCTACAGAGCTCTGGAAACAAGTCTTTGTTGAAATCAACAGAATACAAATAAAGCAGTACTCCAGCATAAAGAATCATCTACACAGATCTGCCTCTTGCCCACACCTCTGCTGTCTGAAGGAGTAAGCGGTTGTGTGTGTCAATCCGAAAGTTTACAGGACTTGGTGAGCTAGGCCCCATCACGGTCACTTGGATATTGGTCCTTTCTGTATTCATTAGGGCTGCAAATTCAGAAAGAGCCTTTAAAGCCACAATGGTATCCTGTTGAGGGAAGAAAGACATTTGTGCATATAAGTATACACCAAGGTCTTCAAAGAGTAAATTTAGTAGCATTTTGTTGTTGTACATTCATCCACCTTCCTTCACAGTGGAATGCTCCCTGACTCATATTTGAATCTCCTTGGCCTAGAGTACAGGAGAGGCTCAGAAAATGTTTGCTAAAATGTTTCATAGTTTTCAGTGTACAGGTCTTGCTGATTTTTGTCAGATTAATCCCTAAATAGTTCACATTTTATGCTATTTTGAGTTTCCATTGCTCATATATAGATACAATGGATTTCTGTACATTGGTTTTTTTATCCCACAATGTTGCTAAACTCACTTGTTAATTCTAGTAGCATTTCTGTAGATTGGAATTTTGCACATAAATGATCATATTATCAGTAAATTAAAAGTTTCAGTTTTTCCTTTCCAAAAAAAGAAAAGAAAATAGAAAATATTTGCTGTATGGAACTGAGCATCTACTCTTACATCAGTTACCACAGATGAAAATGGCAAATGTAGATGGGGAACTGATTTATTCCATACAAATATCAGATATAAAGTTCATAATAATGAGGAGAAAAAAAATAAAATTGATGGATTTAGCCTTTGGCTTAAGTTACTAAACTTTGAAACTGCCAAGTAATTTTATAAAATCAAGGAAAATATGCAACCACATACTTCCATACATATGTGTGTGTGTGTGTGTGTGTGTGTACATGTGTATATATATGTGTGTATATATATACATATATATTACATATATATGTGTATATATATATACACACATATACATATAGTATATAGTTTACTATAATACTAATGTACATATATATGTATATTAGTATTACTATGATACGTATATATGTAATATTATAATGCATATAAATACTATAATACATGTATATATATTAGTATTATAGTATTTAAACTATATACTATAGTTTAAAGGGAATAGTTTAAAGGAAAAAAAACTCTCATCTCTCACCTGAGTAGATGCAAAACCACCCAAGCTATTTCTTTGCCTGCTTAGCCACCTCATAATTGGGATTCCCTCAGAAGCCTGAAATTGTAGGAAATGTGAGAGCAGAGCATAGGCTGCAACTTCAATATCCAGGGAGCGTGGCTGCCAGGAGTCAGAAAGTTTGGACTCTGATGACACCCAGAATTGCATGCCTCCTGCAAGAGAAAAGTAATAACATTCTGATCATTTATCCAGAAAAATTATATTTTATACCATTAAATATTCCTACTCTGGTCCAAGTTGTACTTAACTAGCATAAATATATATATACACACATTTGTATACAGGTATTTATTTATGCCAAACATGCATTTATTTATCACAAACACAAATACATACATACACATGTACAAGTATGTCACTTTTCTAAACTATTACAAGTTAAGCATAGCTTATCCAAAAAGCTTGGGGCCAGAAATGTGTCCAATTTCTGATTTGTTTAAATTTTTGGAATATTTACAGAGTACATACATTCCAAAATCTAAAATGCTTGAAAATCAGGAACTTTTTGAGCACTGACATGATACTCAAAGGAAATGCTCATTGGAGAATTTTGGAGTTCAGATTTTTGGATTAGGGATGCCCAACCTATATACTTATATATTTTCATCCTTTTCCCATTGCCTACAATTGAGGATGTTTTGATGAAAACAGTTTTCCTAAGAGAAATTCCATATGTTTGGCTCAAGACTAACTATAAATAAAAGGAAAAATTAATATATTCCAGAAGAGAACAGACATTACTTATCTAACCAGGCCATCCCCAAAATGTTGTAGTATGCATTTAAAAGAATCCTATTCTGGGAATCTACCATTAACTAGCTCTAATATTCTGGAAAGACTCTTCCATTTTCATTATCTGAAGGTTGATGTTAGAAGTTTGAGGTTCAAGCCCCCAAGAAAAAAATTAGGAACCCCAACCAACTCCACAACCTTCCTAGAGACTCTGCTCTATCCCCCAGAGGGCTATCCTACTTGGTGCCCTCTCTCAAATATTACTATTTAGATAATGATTACACTTAAGTGGAATATCAAATAACTACCACTTAGCCAGGCAGACAAGAAGAAAAAATGTCAAAGACTACTTCAGCTTCTATGCAATAATCTTCTAGTTCACAGCTTTGGAACAGGTAACAAGAATTCAATCTAAGTTATTAATACAATATTTTTTTACAGTCTCACAAGCCTCTAAACACTTTCCACAATTATCCCTTCTTGAATTAACAGAGTTTGAATATTTTTTACAGTCTCAGAAGCCTCTAAACACTTTCTACAATTATCCCTTCTTGAATTAAAAGAAGTTTGAATCACTGGACATTATCTTATTTCTGTTCACCCACTCCCATCTCTCTCTTACACACCCCTAGATCATTGTCCACTTTATATATAAAATGCACATAATCCACTTACTAGCAGCATTTTTTGGTATTCACATTTCTTTCAATTAGCATTTCTTTTAGCTCCTATTTTTGAGCACTTGCTATGCAGCAGCATTGCACATCATCTCATTTAATCCTCACAGCAACTCTCAAATAGGTGTTATTGCCACTTTACAGTTGTGAAAGCTGAACCTCATAAAGGTAAGGTACAGAACCAGAATTTGAACCTAAGTCTCTTCAGAACCCAAGGTCTTAGCAAACTACAAAGCTAACAAATCAGAAATGGTATCAGACACTTAAAGGGTAATTGACATTGGGCATGACATATCTAAAAGAAAGAGATATCTGAGCCCTGAGATTCTGTAGAAAAAAGCCCTGGGGAGAGACCAGAAGCATTGTGGCCATGTTAGGCCCATCCTGGTCTCTGTGTGTGTTTTACTTTTCATCAAAAGATGAAGTAATCGATTTCAAAACTGGCTAAAAATTTTTCTCATGTAAGTTATATATTTCATAATGCATAAGAACTTCAAATGGGCCTGGCACATTACCTTCTTCTTCTGCTCTCCAAGTCAGCATATTCAAAGCTTCCTTCGCTTTAGGACTCCCCACTGACGACAATGCATACGTTATAAGAGCTAGAGTATAATTGTCTAAAATTTCTCTGCTGAATTCAGACTCCAAGAAATTGATAGACTCTTGCACATCAATGTTAGGCTTGGGAAAAAAAAAAAAGTTTATTTTTTACTATTCAAAGTAACCCATTACCACATATTGAAACAAAAAGTACTTTGAGGGAGGATCCAAGATGGCCATTTAGGAACAGCTCAGGATTGCAGCTCCCAGTGAAAGTGCAGAGGGTGAGTGGATACCGCATTTTTATTGCCCACAGACTAGGAAATTCCCAGGCGGAGGAGCTCCATAGGTCACCAGCGCGGCTGTGCTGGCCAGTGCCGCTGCTTTGCCCCACGCAGCTGCTTTGTCGGCGCCCCGGAGCAGCAGTTCTCCGTGCAAAATACACCAGTCCAGGTGCCCTTTTGGCTGGCGATTGGAGCCACAGGAAGTCGCCCATTCATCTGTTTAAAAAGGGGACTGAGCAGGGAACCAGGACAGTAGATTCCAGGGCATAAAAAAGAAAAAAAAAAAAGCACCACAAACCTCAGTGTCGCTGTTTAAGCCAGCGCAGTGTGTGGCCGCAGGGGAAAACAAACAGACCCCAGCGCCTCTTCAACAGGCCACAGGAACACAAACTTAAAAAAGGCCCTGAGGCAGGGAGCTAGGCGATCAGGCTTGGCTGGTCCCACCCCCACAAAAGAACAGCAATCAGAAACTCTGGATTGAGAGTTTCACAGCAAGCGCAGCTGAACCCGGGATGGTCCAGCTCTGTGGGGTAGGGGCATCCACCATTACCGAGGCAGCCCACCACAACACAGGTAGTCAGCCAATGCTGAGGCAGCCCGCCGTTGCCAAGGCAACCCACCACTGCTGAGGCAGCCAGACGTTGCCAAGGCAACCCGCCACAGCAGAGAGACTCCGCCTCATCAGAGCTGGGCCACCATCGCCAAAGCAGTTCTAACTACACCCATATAAACAGGACTGCAGGGAAGTTCACTCAGCAGCTGGGCGGAGCCCACAGCAGCTCAGCAAACCCTCTACAGGCCGACAGTGACTAGGCTGCCTCCTTGCTGGGCAGGGCAGGTCTGAAGGAAAAAAAAAGAAGGCAGCAGCATAACGGAAACTCATAAATAAATCCCTAAATCCCTGGGACAGAGCACCTGGGAACAAAAAGCAGTTTATGAGTTCTGCTACAGCAGACCTAAACGTACTTGCCCAGCAGCTCTGAATGAACAACAGAGCTCACAGCTCACCATTTGAGCTCCTATAAAGAAGAGACCATCTCCTCAAGCAGCTCCCTGACCCCTATATATCCAAAGAGCCACCTCATAAAGGAGAGATCAGATTGACACTAGGCGGGTATACTTCTGGGACAAAGATAGCAGAAGACGAAAACTGGTAACAACCCTTACTGTTCAGCAGCTGCTGCAGGTGAACCCCAGGCAAGCAGGGCCTGCAATGAACCTCAGCAGACCTACAGCAGAGGGGCCAGACTGTCAGAAGAAAAACCAAGAAACAGAAATAACCTCATTATCAACAAACAGAACATCAATCTGAAAGATTTGAGACCCAATCTGAAAGCTAGCAACTACAAAGTCGACAGGTGGATAAATCCTTAAAGATGGGAAGAAACCAGCACAAAAAGGATGAAAACACCCGAAACCAGAACACCTCACCTCCTACAAGGGATCACAACTCCTCACCAGCAAAGGAACAAGGTTGGAGGGAGAACGAGTATGATGAAATGACAGAATCAGACTTAAGAAGGTGGGTAGGAAGAAACTTCTGTGAACTTAAAGAACATGTTCTAAACAAATGCAAAGAAACTAAGAACCTTGAAAAAAGATTTGATGAAATGCTAACGAGAATGGACAAAATAGAAAGGAATATGAGTGAATTGATGGAGCTGAAAAACGCAACATGAGAACTTCGTGAAGCATGCACAAGTATCAACAGCCGAATTGACCAAGCAGAAGAAAGGATATCAGAGGTCGAAGATCAACTCAATGAAATAAAACGGGAAGGCAAGACTGGAGAAAGAAGGGTAAAAAGGAATGAACAAAATCTCCAAGAAATGTGGGACTATGTGAAAAGACTTAATCTACGTTTGATAGGTGTACCTGAATGGAACGAAGAGAATGAATCCAAGCTGGAAAATACTCTTCAGGATATTATCCAGGAAAACTTCCCCAACCTAGCAAGGCAGGCAAACATTCAAGTCCAGGAAAGACAGAGAACACCACAAAGATATTCGTCAAGAAGAGCAACCCCAAGGCACATAATCGTCAGATTCACCAGGGTTGAAATGAAGGAGAAAATACTAAGGGCAGCCAGAGAGAAAGGTCAGGTTACCCACAAAGGGAAGCCCATCAGACTCACAGCAGATCTCTCAGCAGAAACCCTACAAGCCAGAAGAGAGTGGGGGCCAATATTCAACATCCTTAAAGAAAAGAACTTTCAACCCAGAATCTCCTATCCAGCCAAACTAAGCTTCATAAGTGAAGGAAAAATAAAATCCTTTGGGAACATGCAAGTACTCAGAGATTTCATCACCACCAGGCCAGCTCTACAAGAGCTCCTGAAAGAAGCTCTACACATATAAAGGAACAACAAGTAGCAGCTCAACTAAAGGGCAAAACACCCAGCTAGCACCAAAATGGCAGTATCAAATTCACACATGACAATATTAACCCTAAATGTAAATGGACTAAATGCCCCAATCAAAAGATACAGACTGGCAAATTGGATAAAAAGCCAAAACCCATCGGTGTGCTGTATCCAGGAAACCCATCTCACATGCAAGGATACACAAAGGCTCAAAATAAAGGGATGGAGGAAGATTTACCAAGCAAATGGAAAGCAAAAAAAAGCAGGAGTTGTAATTCTCATCTCTGATAAATTAGACTTTAAAGCAACAAAGATCGTAAGAGACAAAGAGGGACATTACATAATGGTAAAAGGATCAATGCAACAAGAAGAGCTAATGATCCTAAATATATACGCACCCAATACAGGAGCACCCAGATACATAAGGCAAGTTCTTAATGACTTACAAAGAGACTTAGACTCCCACACAATTATAATGGGAGACTTTAACACCCCATTGTCAATATTAGACAGATCAACCAGACAGAAAATTAACAAGGATATCCAGAACTTGAACTCAGACCTGGACCAAGCAAACCTATTAGACATTTACAGAACTCTCCACCCCAAATCCACGGAATATACATTCTTCTCAGCACCACATCACGCCTACTCTAAAATTGACCACATAATTGGGAGTAAATCACTCCTCAGCAAATGCAAAAGAACGGAAATCATAACAAACAGTCTCTCAGACCACAGTGCAATCAAGTTAGAACTCAGAATTCAAAAACTAACCCAGAACCGCACAACTTCATGGAAACTGAACAACTTGCTCTTGAATGTTGACTGGATAAACAACGACATGAAGACAGAAGTAAAGATGTTCTTCGAAACCAACGAGAATGAAGACACAACATACCAGAAACTCTGGGACACATTTAAAGCAGTCTCTAGAGGAAAATATATAGCAATAAGTGCCCACATGAGAAGCAAGGAGAGATCAAAAATTGACACCCTATCGTCAAAATTGAAAGAACTAGAGGAGCAAGATCAAAAAAACTCAAAGTCTAGCAGAAGACAAGAAATAGCTAAGATCAGAGCAGAACTGAAGGAGATAGAGACACAAAAAACCCTTCAAAAAAATCAATAAATCCAGGAGCTGGTTTTTTGAAAAGATCAACAAAATAGGCAGACACTAGCCAGATTAATAAAAAAGAAAAGAGAGAATATCCAAATTGATGCAATAAAAAACAATAAAGGGGATATCACCACAGATTCCACAGAAATTCAAACCATCATCAGAGATTATTACAAACAATTCTATGCACATAAACTAGTAAACCTGGAAGAAATTGATAAATTCCTGGACACTTGCTTCCTCCCAAGCCTAAACCAGGAAGAAGCCGAAACCCTGAACAGACCAATAACAAGGTCTGAAGTTGAGGCAGCAATTAAGAGCTTACCACCCAAAAAAACCCCAGGTCCAGACAGGTTCACAGCTGAATTCTACCAGACATACAAAGAGGAGCTGGTACCATTCCTTCTGAAACTATTCCAAACAATACAAAAAGACGGAATTCTTCCCAAATCATTTTATGAGACTAACATCATCCTGATTCCAAAACCCGGCAGAGACTCAACAAGAAAAGAAAACTTCAGGCCAATATCCATGATGAACATAGATGTAAAAATCTTCAATAAAATACTGACAAGCGGATTGCAACAGCACATCAAAAAGCTTATCCACCATGATCAAGTAGGCTTCATCCCAGGGATGCAAGGCTGGTTCAACATACGCAAGTCTATAAACATAATTCACCACATAAACAGAACCAAAGACAAAAACCACATGATTACCTCAATTGATGCAGAGAAGGCCTTTGACAAAATTCAACAGCCCTTTATGCTAAAAACCATCAATAAGCTAGGTATTGATGGAATATAACTCAAAATAATAAAAGCTATTTATGACAAACCAACAGCCAATATCATACTGAATGGGCAAAAACTGGAAGCATTCCCCTTGAAATGTGGCACCAGATAAGGATGCCCTTTCTCACCACTGCTATTCAATATAGTATTAGATGTTCTATCCAGAGCAATCAGGCAAGAAAAAGAAATAAAGGGCATTCAAATAGGAAAGGAGAAAGTCAAATTGTCTCTATTTGCAGACGACATGATTGTATATCTAGAAGACCCCATCGTCTCAGCCCCAGATCTCCTGAAACTGATAAGCAAGTTCAGCAAAGTCTCAGGATCCAAAATCAATGTGCAAAAATCACATGCATTCCTATACACCAATAACAGACTTAAAGAGAGCCAAATCAAGAACAAACTTCCGTTCACAATTGCCACAAAGAGAATAAAATACCTAGGAATACAACTAACAAGGAACGTAAAGGACCTCTTCAAGAAGAACTACAAGCCACTGCTCAACGAAATAAGAGAGGACATAAACAGATGGAGAAACATTCCATCTTGATGGTTAGGAAGAATCAATATCGTGAAAATGGCCATACTGCCCAAAGTAATTTACAGATTCAATGCTATCCCCATCAAGCTACCAATGACCTTCTTTACAGAACTGTAAAAAACCACCTTAAACTTCATATGGAACCAAAAGAGAGCCCGCATAGCCAAGTCAATTCTAAGCAAAAAGAACAAAGCGGGAGGCATCACACTACTGGACTTCAAACTATACTACAGGGCTACAGTAATCAAAACAGCATGGTACTGGTACCAAAACAGAGATATAGACCAATGGAACAGAACAGAGGTCTCGGAGGCAACACAACATATCTACAACCATCTGATCTTTGACAAACCTGAAAAAAAAAACAAGCAATGTGGAAAGGATTCCCTGTTCAATAAATGGTGTTGGGAAAGCTGGCTAGCCATGTGCAGAAAGCAGAAACTGGACCCCTTCCTGACACCTTACACTAAAATTAACTCCAGATGGATTAAAGACTTAAACATAAGACCTAATACCATAAAAACCCTAGAAGAAAATCTAGGCAAAACCATTCAGGACATAGGTGTAGGCAAGGACTTCATGACCAAAACACCAAAAGCATTGACAACAAAAGCCAAAATAGACAAATGGGACCTAATCAAATTCCACAGCTAATGCACGGCAAAAGAAATAGTCATTAGAGTGAATCAGCAACCAACAGAATGGGGAAAAATTTTTGCAGTTTACCCATCTGACAAAGGGCTGATATCCAAAATTTACAAAGAACTAAAACAGATTTACAAGAAAAAAACTAACAAGCCCATTCAAAAGTGGGCAAAGGATATGAACAGACACTTTACAAAAGAAGACATACATGAGGCCAACAAACATATGAAAAAATGCTCATCATCACTGGTCATCAGAGAAATGCAAATCAAAACAACATTAAGATACCATCTCACGCCAGTTAGAATGGCGATCATTAACAAATCTGGAGACAACAGATGCTGGAGAGGATGTGGAGAAATAGGAACACTTTTGCACTGTTGGTGGGAGTGTAAATTAGTTCAACCATTGTGGAAGACAGTGTGACGATTCCTCAAGGACCTGGAAATAGAAGTTCCATTTGACCCAGCAATCCCATTACTGGGTATATATCCAAAGGATTACAAATCGTTCTACTATAAGGACACATGCACACGAATGTTCATTGCAGCACTGTTTACAATAGCAAAGACCTGGAACCAACCCAAATGCCCATCGACGATAGACTGGATAGGGAAAATGTGGCACATATACACCATGGAATATTATGCAGCCATCAAAAACGATGAGTCTGGGTCCTTTGTAGGGACATGGATGAACCCGGAAACCATTGTTCTCAGCAAACTGACAGAAGAGCAGAAGATCAAACACCCCATGTTCTCACTCATAGGCGGGTGTTCAACAATGAGAACACATGGACACAGGGAGGGGAGCACTACACACTGGGGTCAGTTGGGGGGAAATGGGGGAGGGACGGTGGGGGGTGGGGAGCTGGGGAGAGATGGCAAGGGGAGAGATGCCAGATGTGTGTGATGGGGAGGAAGGCAGCAAATCACACTGCCACGTGTGTACCCATGCAACAATTTTGCATGTTCTTCACATGTACCCCAAAACCTAAAATGCAATAAAAAAATAAAAATAAAAATAAAAAAATAAAAAAATAAAGTTCAATTTTCTGGGAAAAAAAAAAAATACTTTGAAACATTCATTTAAAAAATAAATTCAGCATCTGTGAAGCACCTGACCTTGTCCTAGGCAATGAAAATCAACCATAATCATTGACATTTAAAGATTTGCCATGCATTTTTAAAATAATACTGTTTTTCAGTTTTTATAAGTAAACACATGCCATTCCTTAGAAGAAAATAGTAGAGGTTTTGCCAGTGTTTCTCCCACTCGGTATCATAAACTCAGACAAGAACAGCAAACTCCTCGAGAAATGTATTTCTTATATTTGATCTCTGGTATTGCAGCTGTAAGTTTAGGAAAAGTTTAGCTTCTACAAGCCTAGTAGTAGAACAGGAAAATAGTGGGGGGCCTAATAAAGAGAAAGAATGGCTTTGGTGATCTCATAAAATACAGTAGGCAGTAAGCAGTAAAGGTATCAATCACCAGGATAGCTCTGGAGCAAACTTAAGCTCATCAGCACTACCTTGCCATGCATACTCATTCTCATCCAGGCATCCATGCCCATTCAACACACATTTCAGGGTATGGGTGTTCTCAGCACTAAATTAACAGACATTGTAACCCTTCTATGACGTTTTAGAAATAAAAAATCCTTCACAACCTAAACTTGCTAGAACACATTGTCAAATTCTAAATAATTTTCTTTCCCCTCAGAAATTAACTTTTCCAATGATAAAACATGTATTGACTTATCTTACCAATAGCAAGTAAAATACATACATTCAAAAGCATTTCTGTAATTTTCTTAATTACTCTGAAAGAGTGGGTTAATGTTTTTATCCTCAGATTTTGGAACATGGCCACAAACGCAAGCAAAAGGGTACTCAAATTCAAATTTCACATGTGTTGTAAAATTGCAACTTTTTAAGTTTCCACATATATATTTGACCCATTAAGACCTACCCTCCTTGAATTTCCCATCTATCATTTATTAAATTAAAGATGAAATACCTGATACTTTCTATATCCCAGGAGAGAAGTCACAATATAGGCTGTAAGTGTTACTGGACTTTTATTGCCACCTTGAAGCTCACTATGAATCACTCTTCCTGGCTCCCAAAATTCACCATTGGATTTCTGACGTCCTTTAAGCCAAGTGTACGTTCTGTGTAACACATTCTGATCAATATCTATGTAAGGATCAGCTTCAAGGAAACATCTTAAAACAAAAGCTGACAACCTTTATGAAAAGGGGGAAAAAATCACATAAAATATACTTTATAAGGTCCACCAAATAACACCCAGCAAACAAAACAACACTTTTACCCCCATCAGAAGATTTATCAAAGGGAGAATCAATGAAGATGGAACAAAGAGAAGAAAAACAATAAATAGACAAGATAAGCAACTCTCTCTAGCAGGCAGACCTGGTTTCCACTTGAGCATGGCCAAGAAATGCCATGTTGACTCAAAAATAGCAGATTTGGAAAGGAATTCAGAAATTACTTAATCCAGCCCATTATTTTGTAGACTGAGAAATTTGACAGTCCAAGAGAGTTAAATAAATTGTCCAAGATTATTCATCTTTGGATTGTTCTAGATATTTACCAAAGAAGAGCTCAAACACACTTCACTCAGCCCCAAAGCTGTGAATGAAGAATGTATACATAGTTCACAAGCAAACTGTAGTACTTCAGGTGGGGGAAATGATATTTTTCTCTCCTATAGGACAGAAGTTAGCCAACTGCGGCCTATAGGCCAAATCTGCCTGGCCCAGATCTGGGCCTCAGGCCAAATATATCCCAGGGCCTGTTTATGCGTGCACCACCCCTGCCCCCATCTGCCAACACCACCACCTAAGAGTGGTTTTTAAAAGGATAAAAAAAAGAAAAAAAAAAAAAAGACGGGAAAGAAAGATGGAGGAGAGGAAGGAAGAGGGAAGAGCATGCAACAGAGACACTATGTGGCTGGAAATGTCTGAAATACTTACACTCTGACCCTTTACAGAAAAGTTTGCCAGTCCCTGATACACAACACTATACTGAGGTAAAAAGAACATCAAGCAATAAAACACTGAAAGCTTTCTATTTATGGTTCTATATCCCGACTCAGGCCAAAAGAAAATTTGAAGCAGATTTGTTTCATGTTATATAAGGTTTTGTGTGGTAAACATTACTAATATTCAATAATATCTAGTTCTGTTTTACTTTGGTTACACAGAGGAATTCACTTTCCTGCCCCATTAAGGTTAGGCATAAGCATGTGACCAGCTCTGAGAAGGATAAAACGAATAGAAATGATACACTCAGGTAATTGCCAGTGCTATATACTCCAGCCTCCTCTTTCCAGGCTGCGGAGAACGGGGACCCTCCTATTGAGATGTGGACACACTGGCAGCTGCAGAGCCCCCTGCTGACCACAATGGAAATGCAGCATGAACAAGAAATCCCTCCATTGTGAACTGCTTAGATTGAGTAGGTTGGTTGTTACCACAGCACTCCTAGTCTATCCTGATTGATACAGTGAGTCAATATTTTTCTGAGTAAAATAGAAAATTAAAGATAAGTACAAGAAGAGGGATTAATCATCCAAAATCAGCCACATAGAGATTCCAGTCTGAAGGAAACTGGCTGTTCATACTTAATTCCATCACTGTTCTTCACACACACACAAAAAAAATCTTGAAGAAACTACATTGACTGCATTAACACAACACTTGTATTAGTCACGGAAGATTAAGAAAAAAAGCTGTGTCACAATCACCCAGCATTTCTAACTGATTTTATCAGCTGCACCATCATCATAAAGTATTTTTATTGCGATTTTTCCACAAACACACAAAAGGGGATTTATAACTTATCTTTTCTAAATAAAAACATTTGATTTGTTAATGTTTGAAAATAGTACTTTAAAAACAGAATCTCTTTTTAAAGCCAGACTAAGGGAAAAGCAGCCTCCCAGTCTATAATATATAGAGATATATCTGTCAATTTCATGGCTATTGTGACCTATAGAAAGCCCATTCCATGACACAGATTTGTTCAGTTGGCAAAGACACTTACCAAGTGCTCCCAGAAGGGTCATCATTCCCAAAAGCACTGAAAGAGCCATCTTCCCTCTGATAAAGAAGTTCTCTCTGGTAACCTAAAGACACAAAAATAGACAGATACTCAAAATCAAAATAATAATTAACTTACAACGGATGAAAGTTTCTAATTATGACTTCATGTTGAGGAAATATGGGAGAGAGGGGGAAAAAAGAAATCAAACCGAGAGCTAATATTGAGTACTTTCTACTTTAAGTGCTGTTGAAAATTTAAAATGCCAGGACTTTTCAAGCAGAATGTATAAAATAAAAAACTTTGATATCCCAGCCAGGCACAGTGGCTCACACCTGTAATCTCAGCATTTTGGGAGGCCAAGGCAGGTGGATTACCTGAAGTCAGGAGTCCAAAACCAACCTGACCAACATGGTGAAATCCCATCTCTACTAAAAAATACAAAAATTAGCCAGGCATGGTGGCCCATGTCTGTAATCCCTGCTACTCAGGAGGCTGAGGTAGGAGAATCACTTGAACCTAAAAGGCAGAGGTTGCAGTGAGCTGAGATCATGCAATTGCACTCCAGCCTAGTCAACAAGAGTGAAATTCTGTCTCAAAAAAAGTGATATCCCAAATTAAAGTAAATTAAAAGATCACTATGGCATTGATACTTCTAGCCATTCAAAAGCAAGCAAATTAAAGGCAGATTTTTATTTAACTCTCTAGTGTTCACCATAATGGTTTCAATGCTTGGTCCTCTAGAATTGTTTGCTCACAAGAAAAATACTATGTAAGGTATCATTAATTAAAGTTGAAGGCCAAAACAGAAAATAAACATATGTTCTATTCTTAGACCAGCAATAGAAATGAGGAAATGCTACATAATCTAAGACAATTGCTTTTAAATTTTTTGGCCATGGCCAACTGAGGTAAACCAAAAAACCAACTTGCCTGCCATAGATGCTATAGCATCTGACATAGATGCTATTATTATTCTTTTTTTTACAGATAATGAGGCTGAAACTCAGAGGATACAGACACCATGTGCAAGGTCACACAGCTGAGAGGGAGTGAAGTTGGGAATTAGCCAAGGTCTCACTGGCTCCAAGGCCACTGTCTCCTAGTAAATCACAGAGCTCTTCCAATGATTAAACCTGATAAACTTTAAATTTGAGTATCTAAGTTACCCACCAATTCCACGTTTCCACTAACACACACATATATATATATATACTTAGTGGTGGCAATGAAGTAGCATTACAGAAATAAATTGAGGCGGGGATTAACGCTCATGTAACTGCATTAATAAAAACAGATGTGTCAAATTTGCAAACAGTTACAAATAATGATTGCTAATAAAAAGCAGATGTTTCATATTTGCAAAACAATGCATACGGATCTCAAAAACCAGTGTGAGAACTCGTGGGTCAAACACTAAAGGATTCCCCAAACAACCCACAGTAAACTAACTTGCTAAAAATGAAGTTAAGATAGCAGTAACATCACTTAAAAGCAAGCATTAGCAGAAACATTTCCAGCTTAAGGCATTATCAATGACTCTCTGACAGCCAAAAATCCTTCCAAAAATTACAGGATTCCACTATTAGCAGGTGAGGGCACACAGCCTGAGCTTTGCAGCACAGCCAAGACAAAGCCTGGCAACCATATTCATTTGTGAAATGTTGAAATCATTCCCTAGTAAACTCTAGTAATAAACAAATTTGACTTTATGAATACCATATTTTAGAAGCATCCATAAGTATAAATAATATTCATATTTGACTAACTAAACATAAGCATTAATGGTTTGAAATTAGTTAATGTGCTCTTACCATCAAGTCCCAAACTTTTCTCCCTGAGTCTTTCCAAAAGAAACTTTAGATCTGAGTATCTAAGTTACAATAAAACAAAATGTGTAAAGAAAAAACACCCAAGATACTCTGATTCATGGTGATATTTAAGACTTATGGTAAAAGAAATATAAACATTTAAAGTGATGACAGAACTTTGCTTAATTTGAAGAAGGGACCATTAGATTATATTCTTTATGTATAATAATTAGCCAACTTTGATTAAGCAGTCACTAGATGTCAGGAACTGTTCAAAGTCCTCAGGTAATTCTCACAAGAACCCTCTGACATAGATGCCATTATTATTTCCCTTTTTACAGATAATGAGACTGAAACTCAAAGGATACAGATGCCACGTGCAAGGTCACACAGGTGACAAGGAGTGAAGCTGGGAATTAACCAAGGTCTCACTGGCTCCAAGGCCACTGTCTCCTAGTAAATCACAGAGCTCTTCCAGTGATTAAACATGATAAAAGAAGAAAAGTCCTCAGTATAGTACCTTTTACATGGAAAGCTCTCAATAAACATTAGGCATTACCCTCTAATATAGGTGTAGGGGAAGGCTTTCTAAGCACCACACACAATAAACTAAAAGAATTGATGCATTTGACTGTTTTTTAAGTCTTTAAACTGTTCCAAGGCAAAACACACTATAAGCAAGGCTTAACAAACAAATAAATTAAAATAACGTGTTTGCAACATATGGATAAATAGCTAATATCAGCATTATGTAACTTTTATTTATATGTTATTACATACATGTATACACATATAAAGAACTTTTAAAAATTTAGGGTAAAGTATGAAAAGTCCTATAGAAGTAAGTGAATAAAAGACGAAACAGGTAAGTCACAAAAGACAAAAATATGAAGACAAATTCTAATATAGAAAACATGTTTAACTTCATAATAGGAGAAACGCAAACCTACACTGAGATACCATTTCTCTCCCATCAGATTGGCATTAAGATTCAAAAGTTTGACCACTCCTTCTGTTGGGTGAGCGGCATGAAAACCAGCACTGATCCACTGCTAGAGGGAATTCAGAAGGGTACAACTACCATGTAGGGGAATGTCTTTACCCTTTGACCCAGTAATCGCAGTTCTAGGAATCTACCCTGAAGATACGCCTCGAACAAGACAAAAATACACATGCAGAAGATTATTCATTACAGCATTATTTGTAATTGTAACATAATGGAAACAATCTTAGTGCCCAACAACTGGAGACTGATTGACTATGGTACATATGCATGATGGAGTACTATGCAACTGTGAAAAAAAGAATGAGGAATAGCTCTGTCAACTGAGGCAGAGTAATTTCCTGCATATACTGTTAAGTGAAAAAGGCAAAGTTAAAACAGTACATATAGTACATACTATCTTCTGTATAATAAACAGAGGAAATGAGGCTGGGCGCCAAGGTTCATGCCTGTAATCCCACTATTTTGGGAGGCCAAGGCAAGTGGATCACTTGAGCCCAGGAGTTTGAGACCAGACTGAGCAACATGACAAAAGCCTGTCTCTACTAAAAATACAAAAAAAAAAAAAAAAAAAAAAAAAATTAGCATGGTGACACACACCTGTCTTCCCAGCTGTTCAGGAGGCTGAGGTGGGAGAATCACCTGAGCCCAGGAAGTCAGGGCTGCAGTGGGCCGTGATTGTGCCACTGCGCTCTAGCCTGGGCAAAGGGAGAGGCCCGGTTTTTAGCAAAAGGAGAGAGAGAAAAGAAAAACTAGAAACTAATGAAGTAAGTAGGTTACTGATGCCGTTGGTATATTTGTCCCCACACAAATCTCATGTGACATTATAATCCCCAATGTTGGAAGTAAGGCCCAGTGGGAGATCATTCAATCTTGGTGCTGTCCTTGAGATAGTGAGTGAGTCCTTGCAAGATCTGGTCATTTAACAGTGTGTGGCATCACCCCCCAATACTGCCTCTCTTGTTCCTGTTTTCACCATGTGATATGCCTGCTCCCTCTTCCTCTTCTGCCACAGTTGTAAGCTTCCTGAGACCTTCCTAAAGAAAATGCCGGTGCCATGCTTCCTGCACACCCTGCAGAATTATGAGCCAATTAAAATTCTTTTCTTATAAATTACCCATCCTCAGGTAGTTCTTTACGGTAACGCAAGAACAGCCTGATACAGTTACCATCAAGGGGTAGAAAGCAAGAAAAGGGGAAGAAGAAGCCCTCTTTTGAATATACTTCTCAAAATAAGTTAGTCTTTTGGAAGCATATTAATGTTCTCCATGTTCAAAACATAAACAAAAGTGGAAAAAATTAAATGATAAGTATTATCACTACTCTAGTTCATTTTACCATGTTTTAGTTCTCACATAACCTTTCTTTTTCTTTTTGTGCTATCCCTCTCCTATCCACCCACCCCAACAGGCCCCGGTGTGTGATGTTCCCCTCCCTGTGTCCATGTCTTCTCTTTCCCAACCCCCACTTATGAGTGAGAACATGTGGTATTTGGTTTTCTATTCTTGTGTCAGTTTGCTGAGAATGATGGTTTCCAGCTTCATCCATGTCCCTACAAAGGACATAAACTCATCCTTTCTTGTGGCTGTGTAGTGTATATGTGCCACATTTTCTTTATCCAGTCTATTATTGATGGGCGTTTTGGTTGGTTCCAACTCTTTGCTGTTGTGAACAGTGCCACAATAAACACATGTGTGCATGTGTCTTTATAATAGAATGATTTATAATCATTTGGGTATAGACCCATAATGGATTACTAGGTCAAATGGAATTTCTAGTTCTAGATCCTTGAGGAATTGCCACACTGTCTTCCACAATGGTTGAACTAATTTACACCAGCTCCTCTTTGTACCTCTGGTAGAATTCAGCTGAGTTTTCACATAACCTTTAAAAATGCAGTATATTAGTTCATTTTTCAGAGGCAGCCAGGGATCACAGAGAAGCAAAGCAATTAATGTTAACAAAAGAAATCAGCAAGAGTCCAGGACATTCTCCCTCAATTTTCAGTTAAGTACTAAATTCTCCAGATAGCCAGAGTTTAACTATGAACTCAATCTAAGAAAAAAGAGGAAAAGGAAAAAAGAGAGGAGAAGGAAAGGAGAGGGAAGAAGAAAAAAGAAAAGAGGTTTGAGGCTCTCAATCCCTACAGGAGGTACTTTTTGTGACTGAAAGACCAACCTCGAGGAGAGGACCATGTGCCTCCAAGCCCCCAGATCACATCAACAACGGCAGTTCCAAGTATGACATATTGTGAAACCAGTCAGAGATGAG